ATATATTTATATATAGGCTATATATCATATTATATTATATTATCAAATACACAATTTGCGCTAACAAAATAAATAGGCCTATGTTGTTTTCAGTTTTTGGTTGCGTTAGGTAAACAAATGCCTAACTAGAAGGTACAGGACGATTGTTATCTAATAAACAGATGACGTACTTGAGCAGTCTCCTCCCGTAAAACCAACTTTGCAGTCGCATGTACAGTTTTCTTCGTTCAATGTCCCACAGTTATGACAGATTTGCCTACAAACTGTAAAGTATACAACGGAGTAGTTATCCTGTATTTGTTCTATTTTGTTGACATATTTATGTATTTTTAAATTCAACGAAAATCGTATTGGTACTATAAATCAATTAAACGGGAAAAAAAAGCAATTTTCAATATAAACTCTATGTGGGATCATTTTGTTTTGCATTGCGTTAGTTTCTAAGAATTAATTCCTTCGTAAACTTGTCCTATTCTCAATACTACTTAATTTTGCTCTATGGAAATTATTCTATTCATATTTTTTTGTGTAATAAGTGTAACTTTTTATATTTTAATTGTTTACTTTATATTTCAGTAAGATATTAACTTTAATTATCTTCCAATTAAAAATCGAAACATTTTGTCTCTCGAAATTATCATTGTTTGATATAAAGATACAAAATGAAGGTCTACTTACTGCATGTTTCGTTATGCTCTTTACACGACCCTATAAACAGAGAAACAAGTAACATATTCATATTTGAAGAGGAGGCCTTTTTCTTTTTTTCTCACAGAAACTTTCAGATTACAGAACATAGCGAATGCATTACACTAGTCTATAAACCATTTTAGAGAGAGGAGATTATAGGGCGCTTTCGATTTGTGCAACGACGACACGACGCTAGAACGGAATCACTCATGCGTGACCGTCCTACCTGGCGTCCTACGTTCTCTGCGTACATAAATTTGACCAAATTGCGTTCAAGAGTCTCCTCGACAAGGTGACCGTAACGTTCTCGCATGCGCAGATGACCGTTAGTGACGTCATTACGTTCTACGTCCTACCGTCGTCGTACAATCGAAAGTTCCCGATTAACCTTCGTTGTGTGTATGTTGTTTATGTTTATAGACCTGCTATGAGCATGCGCAGTTCAAACTACAAATTGGCTTATTAAGCGATAAAATATACCAATTTCAAAAATGCTGACACAGTCCACGTTTCATTTCTAACGCCATAAGGCAATGAGAGTGGTCGCCACCTTAAAACGATAATGAACAAGAATACAAAATACAATCATTCTGATTCACACTTAATGAATATAGGCCTATATGAATTAAGTTCACAAGCGAAATTGCAGATGATAGACTAATACAAATATACATTTTGGATTAGTGCGATTTGTTCTTTTTTTTTACGGTGATTTAATTTGACGTTAATTTAATAATTACGCATTTATTATGGACGTTTGATATCGTGATCATACATTTATTGGATACAATGCTAAAGTTGATCCTTTAGATGATTATAGGCCTGTGTTTATCATCTACTGATATCATTGTACATTTACTAGATCCGATTATTTGCACACCATTAATATTTTCGACGATATTCTGGTACATAGAAACTACACGAAAGAATTAGTAAGGCAAATAAACAAATTCACTGGAAAAATAGCAAACTAGTGTTTTTCAGTAATAATGATAATCAATACAAATTAGATCTTACGACATAAACCGTTGTAGCACTGGCCGACGTTAGTGGAACATTTGGTGCAGTTTGGTCCTGCTTTGTACGGATGTCGATTGTAATTCCCCCTACAAAATACATGATTAATTATTAATAAAGGCAGCAGGCCATTTTGTACAATACACAACTTGGCCCAACCGAGTTAATAATCTTTGTATATGTACAGTTTGTTCCTGCTTGTACGGACGTCGATACATGTAATTACACCCGACAAATAAAATAACTGATTTCTTATTATGTACTTGTATTATATGCCTATTTTTGTATTATTATAATATATAGGCATACATTTGTTGAGTAATTTAGGCTGCAGAATATTAGGCATATATATATATATATATATATATATATATATATATATATGTGTGTGTGTGTGTGTGTGTGTGTGTGTGTGTATATATATATATGTATGTATGTATATATATATATATATATATATATATATATATATACATTATATATCCATTTATTATACAAATTACTAAAATTCAATTTGCTGCGTACACACAATATAAACAAATTGTTTTTATATTTATATATATTATTATTAATCTAATATTTATGTGTGTATACATACATAAAAAAAAATGAGTACTTGCATACGTAACATTTTTCCACGAATCGATAAACCCCAAAGAGAAAAAAATAAGGGGGAGGGATTCTCTCCCTGGAAAATTTTGATTCCTAGACGGCGAGAAATGAGCTTTTACGACTATACTCAAGTGTCTTAAGTTCTTCAAAATTCAAGGTTTTCCCCTTCAGTTTTTTAATGATTTTTTCCCAAAAGGAGGTCAGGACCCATTGACCCCCTCAGACCGCCAATGCGTCCCATTCAACTATATACATCGCCACCTTTCCTCACTCATTCAACACCGTGCGGAGCACCGGTACGTACTCTATAATACCAGGGAACAGTAAAATTACACTGTTCCCTGGTAATACATTAGACAATGAAGGTTTTATCTGTGACTATACGTTTATATTTTATCCCAGGGAACAGTGAAATTATAATTATTGTAATTTCACTGTTACCTGCTCTTATTTCGTATTGTATATTGCTGTTTAATTGTTTTTCTAAATCATTACTTATAGAAACATTTTTTTTACCAAGTCTCTGCTTGGGAAACGGTGACTAGATCTTGGTTGAGATACAAACCGTAAAAGTAAATTAAGCAGGAATTTCGAGCATGAAGCCTTCTTAAGTAGCAATTAATTTGGTTCTCTTCCAGTATTTAACTTAGGTTCACATTTCAGTATTTGTTATTCAATTTATATCCTCCAACCCAACTATATTTTTCCACAGAATTGTTGTTTTCCAGTATTTTTCCTTTTAATTTAAATATTGTATATAATTTTATTTTGAAACAAATGTCAGTTTTTTAAAAACTCTGATGTGATAAGACATAGCAGTGGTGGGTGGGGTGTAAGAGCCATGGCTCCTGTCTTGGGCAGTTGCCATTCCTACCCTCCCCTCCCCCCACACCACCGTCGGGGAGAAATACCACAGTTCGTCGGGGAGAAAACAGATTATATATATTTTACATATTAGTAGACTCTAAAATCGATTAAATAATCCTTTTAAACTCTCAAAGATTAATTATTTTTCACCCCTGGACCACTTTTGAAAGACTTTAAGCAACACCTAACCAGGCCCACGTCGCCTCCCCACCCCCCCCCCCGTCGGG